GGAAGGAAAGAACGTGGGAATGCGGCTTTCTCCTCTGTGTGGCACGCTCCCTGGATGAGTTTCCTGATAGAGAGGCGCGCGCACACATACATATACACACACACAGGTGGAAAGAGAAGAATACGCACAAGTAAATCATAAATAATCCCGTTTTATTGCTGCCTGATTTTCCCTTATCGGAAACCATTCATGTTTGCAGTTGCTGAGGTTATTGAGGGTCGTAAAAAACGGATTCGATCTAAACAAGAAAGATAAAAACAAAAGCAAGACTGTAGAATCCAGAAGTGCGGTAGGCTCCCCGCCCCGGAGGTAAATCTCATCGCCATGCAAAACACTTGAACATCGGAAATTTAACAGAGTGCCTTAAAAATATCAAATTAAATGTGGGCGGCGGTAACATGCATGTTAACAATTTCTCTTATGATAGATGGTTCAAATTAACTTCCAGGAAAGTGCATTAACGTTGCCTTTGAAGGCTCTGGTCTGAGCCTCTGAGAACACTGCCCGCCTTTTTTATTATTGTAACCTGCAAGAGGGAACATATAAACACCCGGGACAGCAGGTAATGGGGGAAATATAAACAAAGCCAGAAGGGACGCTGGTGGGGAACAGAGCTGCCCAGACTGGGGCTCAGCCTTGCCCACTGTGAGGAGGGTTAGCTGCAATTTTACCTCCAGGATTGCCACTATTGTTTTTAATTCCTCCATTCAGAGAACAAATAAACTATCCTAATAAATCTAGCCTAGAACCAGGACACCCAAAGGCCAAATTAAAACCATTCTTGAGCAGAGGTGGCGAAACCCCTTTCCCAAGGCCTTGTTGAACAGTAAGCAGTGGTGTAATCTATCAGTATTTCTTGGCTTTCATGCGTGAAGAATCGTATTTACGTTGTATTAAAATGACTCTTAAATTTGCACAATATTGTAATGTAGCAAATGTAGTATTAATATCGATCTGAGCAGCAGATAATTTATTTAGACAAGAGCATCTCATTGGTATGCAGGGTGGCCAGAGCTGTGGACTTGGACTGCCCCCCTTTTACTTTCAGTGCAAATACAGGTCTGCTAGTGGGAGAGGGAGTTATTCTTTGCAAGAGGATAAAGTGAGAACCTTAAAACAAATGGAAGATTTATTGAATAGCCTCCTTGGTGTTTGAATGCGTTTTATCTTAATAAGTCTTCTTGATAGAAACGTGTTTTTCACAAGTGACAAAGAGCCTGGGAAGCAATGACCGGGCTGCGTTAGTGCTGGCAGGCCTGGGCCTGGCTGGCTCTCCGCTCCCCGGCTCTTTAGCCAAATTAATCAGGAAGCAAGCCAGTGTCAGGGAGGCTGGGGTTTTTAAATCTCATCCAGTGAGGTGTCTTGAAGCAGATATGTGACTTGAAGCTGGACAGAGGTCTTCTCAAGAAAGGTCTCCCCTCCCTTGTCCTTGTCCTTCCTAAGGTTCTTTGAACTCCCTTGACTTTTCTGATCCCCTGTCCTTTCCCAGAGAGAGGCGAGGACTGTGCAGGCTGCAGAGTAGACTGTGGAATTATTTAGCTTTTCTTTCAACTTTTCATCCTAAAATATCCCTGTGAAACTTGTTTCTTAAAAAAAAAAAAAGTCCCAAAGAAGTTTCTTCAAGTCTTCAAGGTGCAAGGGGGAGGCAAGAAGTGAACAATAACATTATTTTGCTGGGAAATTGCAAGCAGAGTATCTGAAAATGGAAATAGAGCTGTCAGTAGTAATTCACCCCCCTCTTTCATACAACACATTTCCACTTTTGACTAAACTTGTTTTGATTGCCAGCCAGAAGGGAATTCATGGGAAGCCTTCTCAAAGTCATCCAACTTTTGAGCAAACTTTGAATGATGGAAAAGACAGTTTTAGACATATTGTCCAATGAGGTTTGCTCCGGTTAAGTATTTGAAGCTGGCACAGGGGTTCCCTGTGGTGGTTTTCACATTTGGCCTCCGGATGGTATGCTTAATCCTTAATATTCTGGACAGCATCCAAAGGCTAGGTCATGACCTGAACTTACTTTTTAAAAAAATTCATTAATTCATACACCTAAATATTCCCTCAAATAAATGAGACCTTCCCTGAAAGGAGCCATCTAGTTAACATAAATACAATAAATCCATTTTCAGTACAATAATAACTTTGATTTCTAGTTATGGCAGCTGATTACATCTATATTTCCTGAACACTAAACTCTTCTGAATGCACAACATGAAATACATTCTCTGCACTACAAAGGCTAAGCCGGGAGGGCCTGAACAGTAATGGTTATTTATTTACATAATTTCTTTTCCATATACTGTAGAAGAAATATTGAGGTTTCCCACATTGACACTGCCATATAAAAAGTGAGACATGGATTTTGCACATGCTGACTCCTTTTCTGATCTGGGGTATATATAACTCATGGCGTATAAATATGGACTACATTACACCCCCTGCTCACCTCGCTTTGCTACCACAACCACCCAATCCATCTAAGAGCTCACACCGTCTGTCCACAGTTGGGGGAATCCTGTTGCAGGAATATCCAGAGTGGGGATGACTATCTACACTGGGAAGCCAGGCCCGGACTAGGGCCATAGGGCTTGCCTCCTGGCACCTGGCAGTCCGCTGAGCTACAGGCATTCTGCCTTCAAAGGAGGAAAGATATCAAAGCAGCCAGCACAGGGCCCAAGCAAGACTTTCCTGGGCTTCTCTCCCTTGGAGTGGCCTAGCTGGGAGAAGGGTAGTGACCTTGCACTCTGGGGTCCCTCGTCATAAATATCAGATAAATATTTTACGGACCTGAGGGGATGCCATATGGGTCTTTTTAAAAAATCTGCTGGGGTATCAGTGGGTCCTTTTCATTTTGCATTGTCTGAGGCTGAAAGGGATCCTGACGTATAATGGGCAGATAATGCATGTAAAGCAAGATATATGTAAATATGAGTCTGCATGCATGGTGGCTATTCAGCAGAGCCAGGTTAGCAAGCAGGGCCAAGGGCAGACCTCAGGGTCCCTTCTCTAAGGAGCAAAGCCCCAAAGTGCTCCTGCCCTCGCCCTGCTAGCCATAAAACCTGACTGATTTCCCAAGGCAGGCGGGTGTGGATGCACCCTAGCAGCTGGCTGGAGTAATTAGACATCTGACAGGAACCCAGTCTGGATCTGGGGTCAAAGGACACTTGCCTCAGAAGTTCTTGAATCATCATCACTAGTTTTATTTGTATTTTTGCTCAAGGCCATAGCCTTGTAAATGAAGGTGGTATAATGTTTGTAAACCCCACTTCTTAAAATATGAAGACATAAAGCTCAGAAACCCAGCAGACACAGGTTTCACTTTGAATCATTTGCTGTGTCTTTGTAGGGTCACACTTTCCCATTCACAAATATATAATGTCCTTTTAGGAGCATCACCAGGCATGGATTTCTTCCCAGATCTATATATTAGCAAACTCTGCCTTTGATCTCTAGTCAACCTCCTGACTGGCTAAGGGTTCCTCTGTGATCTTCCTGTTTTTGAAATATTCATTATTAATATAAGAAACAACACAGGCATTTAAACTAGGAAGCCTTCATCTCATTCCGCTGATTCCACCATCCCCTCCATTTGCTTGCCTCCAGTTAGTTGATATAGTATGAACTGCTGTCTTGAAATATTTTTAGGAGACCAAGAGGAGCCTTGGTTGATGTGAAATAAACACACAGGTTTTGAGATGCTGTCCTTGCGTGTAGGTCCGCCCCCCCACCCCGTTGGTCCTGTAAAGGAAGCCTATCTCCCTAAATTCCCCCTCAACTCCCCATCTTCCAGTTTGAAGCAGCAGCAGCTGCTGCTGACTCTAACCCAGCTTTGTGTCTGATCACGAAAGATGTCTCCTTTCTGCAGCCTGGGGTCACTGAGCCACATTCTTCCTGATTATTACACAGTTTACAGAGATGTGACCAATTTTCAATTACTTGATCTAAGGCACAGATAGCAGTGTACACCCTCACCAAGGCGTTGCTGCGGAGTCCTTGCTTGCATGGAGAGTGGATCTCAAATCCTCTCTTGCTAAAGCCTGGGCTTGATCTGATTCCAGGCACTGCCAGCCCATGATTCCTTGCCTGCTCTTAAGTGTTTGTTCACTACACAATCCAGGTGCTCCTTAAGGTTTCTGGTTGGGGTCATTTGTTGGGAGGGGGACTCCACGGAGCCTTTAAGAACTGCCTTCAGGCTGCACATTCAGGGCTCCTGAACACCCAGAAAGCAGGGGGGAGTGGGGCCAAAGTCCTCCCCTTAATGAGCACAGTGGAAGGATGCTCCCCTGCAGGCAGAGGACAGGTTGCTACCACAGCAAACATGGCTCCAGCACCGTACTTACTTAATCCAAAGGTGAACGAGGAAAAACAAAGGGACAAGAGAGGTTGCTGCCTCTGCATGTGTGTGCTTCTCTCTCCAGCTCCCCTAGGCTTGGTGGGGGGTTGGTTTATTTTATTTGTTTTGGGGCTGGTGGAAGAGTGGGGAAGCATGGATGGGTGGATTTCTTTCATTTTCTCTTCTATTTCTTTTTTTCTCCTTTTCTCCTCAAAAGATTATTTTAATGGCCTGTTGTTTGTGCTTTTGCTGTTCACGGACCTAACCATGTGCCCACTCCCCTTGTCTTTCCTTCCTGTGGCTGCTTGGGCAGATGCCTGTGGCCTGTCGGATGCCGCCCACATCGAGAGCCTGCAGGAGAAGTCTCAGTGTGCGCTGGAGGAGTATGTGAGGAGCCAGTACCCTAACCAGCCCAGCCGCTTCGGCAAACTGCTGCTGCGCCTGCCCTCCCTGCGCACAGTGTCCTCCTCAGTCATCGAGCAGCTGTTCTTCGTCCGTTTGGTAGGTAAAACCCCCATCGAAACTCTCATCCGTGATATGTTACTGTCTGGGAGCAGCTTCAACTGGCCTTACATGTCCATCCAGTGTTCCTAATCCTTGGGCACTTCCCACCTGCCCCCACCTCCTTAGAGACTCAGAGGACCTGCGGGGGCCATGGACTCCAAAGCCTGGGGGACCAGGCAACTGATGCGGGGCAGGCTGGGCAGGGGGGAGGAGGGCCGGGAAGGCAGGAGCAGCCCACCCTACAGAAATGCAACCCAAGCTACAATCCAGGAGAAAAAGAGACTCTTTTAGGATCAGATCTGTGAACACATTGGAAAGGAAAGGAAAAGGACCTTGTGTCTGGTGAGAAAAAGAAAACAATCTTTGGAAGAGAGGACCATGAGAATTTTAATAAAACAGAAGGAGACTAATGGACCTTCCAGGATTTATTGTGGACGGATGTGGATATATTCTGTACAGAAAACAACACATGGAAGTGGACTGAATCCTATGTAGAAACACACACGCACCCCCAAACATGGTTATTCATTTTGTAAGATACTAGTCTTTATTTTCATTTTTTGTAAAATTTAAACATCGTATGCACATAAAAAAGGAAACAAGAATTAGGGGAAAATAACATTTTCCAAATAATTATAAAAAATTGTCCTGTGTCTATGTATCTATATCTGTTTTGTATTTTTTTCTGGTTCCAAACCAGATTTCCTGTGATTCTATACTAATAATTTTTGATATAACCCTTTGCTTCTTATAATGAGTGCGATATATGTTGTCAAGGCTGTTCTTCAAGAATTAAAATTGAAGTGAAAATTTAAACAAAAATAAAAGAATTTAGCAAAACCCATGCGTCTGGTTGTTTGACAGATGTCATCAGTGCAAAAGAACACTCCACTTAATCTCCACTCCAATTCTTATTAGAAGGGGGGGGGTTAAGAGGGGGAAACTTTTAAGGTCTATTACCAAGTTGGCTAGATTTATTTCCTAAACCAAGTCACTGCTTGGTTTTGTAAATTCAGAGGGCCAGGCTCTGCGTGGGCCATTGTGGTCCCGGACGACAGGGAGCCTTGGTTGCAAACATCCCATGTGACCTTGTGGGTGGTGGTGGTGGGCTGCTAGAGGGCCTGCGTGCAGCTGGGCCTCAGGCTGGCAAACCTGGTCATATGGCTGGTCCAGGCTCAGGCACCACTTGCTTCCGGGACTGCATGTGGGTCTTGCCTGGCTGTAGGGGTGTGAAGCACTAGAAGAGGAGGGTCAAGGGAGGGAAAGCTTTGCTCGGGCACCTCTGTACCTCATGCCTGTGATGGGAGGGTCTGGCCTCTCCCTAGCCCTGGGAGAAGTGGGGCCTCAGAGCTGGGAGCCCTGGCTTTGCTCCCTCTATGGTCCCCTGCAGAGGTGGCAAGGGTTCGCCCTTTTCCATACCCTGCGACGGGGGCCCTCCAGGTGTGTTGGGTGGGTGCAAGGTCCTTGCTGTGGCCATAAGGGTGTTGTGGGCCTGGGACCTGGGAGTGGGGGAGCTAGGCTGGAGCAGGTCCTTTTCAGAAGGGTGTTTGGGTCCTAGTGGCCCCGTCAGGGCAGA